CAGAACTAAAAAAGGTCTTGTTATGACTCTCAAATAATTAATGACAAAACAAAGACTAAAATGAGGATTTATATCGGGACGCCTTTGAACAATTGAGACGGCTGATAAAAGTTTACGTGTGATGCAAAATTTGCTGGTTTGATTCCATTCTTCAGATAGGTTCTAGTGCGTGAATCGATGGTCTAGAGCAGTGTCTCCCAAAGTGGGGTCCGCGGCCCACCAGGGGGCCCTAAAGAGGGTACTGCAGGGGGGCCGCGGGAGGTCATAAAAAAAATAAAAAAATAATATAATTATTTAATGTTAAATTTATAATGTTTTGTTTGTAATATTAAAATATTTGTGTTCATTATTTGACTTGAATAATCCACTGTAATCATTTTTGTATTACAATGTTTGTAGCAGAGGCTATTTCCCCAAAATAAAATAACCAGAAGAGCCTATTCTTAATGTTGTCTTCTTGGTTATTATTTTGGGGGGCCACGCAGACCCGTCAGATTTTTAAGGGGGCCTCGGTGTTACCGAGTTTGGGAATGGCTGGTCTAGAGGTTAAAATTATGCGCTCTCCATGCCGTAACCTGGGTTCGATACCGGGTAGAGCCTTTTTCTATGACAGATTGCTCTAAAAACGGTAAAAGACGATGGTCAAGACGTTTTTTTGCAGAACTTAAAAAGAATTATTTGAGACCACATGTACCCCAATTAAAATGTTTGTCTCTTTTTGGGACTTTTTTGGGACTTATACATGTTTGTCTAAAAAATAGGGAATAAATAAAATTGAAAGGTGATATCCTCTTGAGCAAACCCTGATGTTGAACCATGGCATGTTTTACCTTATTTCAAAGCATATTGTGGAAAAACAACCACATCATAATTTTGCCAATTGTTTTTCCTTCCAAACCAAATACATATTTGACCCAATAGACCAGCGGTCATCGGGTCTCGCAAGCCAGATGTGACTCTTTTGATGACTGTCTCTGGCTCTCAGACAAATTTTATTTGGGACAAATAGTAATGCTTTATGTATTGGATTTTTTAAGTATAACATGTAATTAAACCACAAAAACTATTCTAGGATCCATATTACACTCTAAATGTGTTGATCTTGTTTGAAAAAATCACACATATTCACAGTAAAAAAAAAAGTGTACACCTCCCACGGAAATCCATTTTAGCGAATGAGAATATTTGGGCTTTCTCAGCTAAAACACTTCTGCTACAGTTTGGCTTGGCTGCTCCTCATCTCTTCAGACCTGGGTGTGTCTTGTCGCTGCATCTCCAGTCAGCTCTTGGTCTTTGGTCAACCCTCTAGCAGCGAAGTTGGCTTGCTCTGTGTGTCCTCTGCTTGCTCAGCTCCAGCATAGAAAAAAAAAGTAGTTCAGGATATTAATTGTAAGTAATTAAGTAAGTAAGTAAATAAGTAAAGTTTGTATAGCCACCAATCACAAAAGCAATAAGAGAAATAGCTTTCCTCAACTCGAACTCGAACTCCCAAGCAACAAATGTGACACGGGAGGAAACTGCTGCCAGCTCTTCTTGTAAAAATATTGGCATGGAGAAGTATTTACCTTTAATTTTTACCTTTTTGCTGTGACACAGAGTAAACCGAGTCATACCCCAACTTCCTTTTACAAGACGCTCCAATGAAACAGTTGTTAGAGTGTCACATAAAATCCACCTCTTTTCTGTTGTTCCATGGGTCCCATTAAGCATGACTGTACAAAGTGAACAGCAGGGAGCTTCAATGGCAGCGGGTTGCAGAACTATCTTGTGCCCATCTCTGCAGCACGGTGGAAGGGGGGGATTAGCTGTGTCTTCTTCACATCAAAGAAGGGTTTCTAACTCAGGCTTGGCATTGTGCTGTGAGACTGACTTAGAGCAGCTCCACTATTCTTATCTCCCTTAGCAGACCGCAACACACTGGCTCCACTAACATAGAGGAAGCAGGCGACGCATGGTCAAACGTACAAGCACAGTGTATTCTGTTTTGAGACACACAAACACTGGATTTGGGAGAATTGGTGCAGCTGGAAGAGAGCGTGCCGCCCGTCTTCAGCCTCTGTAGAAAGCTCAACCTGCTTCACTGGAAATTTGAAATGGATTAAATGATAATCCCCAGGAATAAAGCTCTGCGGGCATAAGACACTACTCATATGTTTTGGCACCTTTTGTAGAAATCATGAGAGTGAATCCGCAGTCAAATGTTAGAGGCATAGGCGAATAACCACATTTATTACAAACAAGTACAAAAAAGTGTCATTAAAGCTGCCCTCCCCGCACTCACAAAGCTGTTGCCCCCCACGCACCCCCCCCCCCCCCCCCCCCCCAACACACATACACACTCAGCTGTTTACGTAGCTCGCGTCTCACATTATGGATCGAACATTTGAACGTGGATGGCGTGACCATAGAATGATAGAACCGGGAAGCGCGGAGAGGACGAGACTTTCTTTTGGATGGATGTTTCGCTGTGTAATCAGTAACCGGTAACGAAGACAAGCCTCTGCCGCTTGTTTACCTCAGCAGTCTGTGTAAACAAGAGACACTTTTCTCAAGAAAGTGGGGGCCAGGGGTCCGCTGTGATTGGTCACAATCTGGTCTCGAAACACATTCTCTTCTTTGGTCTAAAAGAAAATGACACACCAGCACAAATCTCCGCTACTTATTCTTCAAAAGGACGCATATGCCGAAGCACTGCATGGATATGGATTGAATTTTTGTAATGAATACAATAATAAAGTCAGGTAATGCAGCTTTAATTTTCAACCTGTGTGTCCTGGAACTTTTCCCAAAACCATAGGCCGGTGAATTCATTATTATTTGCATTGTTCATATTGATGTTTAATATATTTTATTGAATTAAATTTGAAATATTATAGTCGAAGTGTTCTAGAAGGACGTTACAATTGAAGCAAGAAGAAAAACATTTTGTTCGTGTTATAAAAGGTATTTCAGGTTGTTCGGGAGTTAATGAATGTGTCTACTTTTTTGACTATTTGTTAGTTTAGAATAAACTTAGAATCTTTTTAACATGTTTTTTCACACTTACTGCCTTTTTGCACAGCCTGAGTGATTCTATCTGTGCCAAATGTTACTTGTACATTTCTCCATTATGAGATCAATAAAGTTTATCTTATCTTATCTTGACAATTAATGCCAAAGTAAAAACGACAGTCTAACAGGCAACAACAATTACGAGGAAAATCAATCAATACACTTTTATTTGTAGAACGTCTCTCACAAAGCTCCTCACAACACACATCACATCAGGCAAATCGTGAACATTAAAATCTACATACACATTAGAAAATAGGAGTGTGACAATATATCCATATGGTTATGTATTGTGATACTTTCTCACCCAATCGATTATCAATATGCTTTTGCTAAGTATCGATTTAAAAAATAAAATTAGTATTGTTACTTATATGGCTACATTACGCATTCAACTATTCCTGTAGAATATTCATATTGATTTTATTGGATGTGAGGTGAGACAGATTAATTAAGATTTTTACAAAAATGTGCAGGTTAAAAGGCTTTTTTGCCTCTTCACTTCAATGTTACACTTTATCCATTTATCTTGAAATAAAAATATTATCGTAGGTATATTTTTGTCCAATATATCGATAATCGCTGCATCGTCATATCGTGAGATAATCGTCATATCGTGAGATAATCGTTATCGTGAGCTTTGTATCGCACATAGTAAGTTACCCTGAGGTCCCCACCCCTTGAAAATATGATGTGAATGATATGAAACAAGCATTAAGATCACAAGAAATATTAAAAACATAGAGAATAAAATCACAAGTATTTAAAAACTTTAAAACATTAAAATAAATAGCCAGAGTGCATTAAAAGAGTAAAGATAAAGAATACTTCAGTTGTGTGCAGCGAAACAGGGAGCTGTTTTGCTTAGTCTTTAGAGTTCAATAATTGAATTGATATTGGTGTAAAGGGCTGTTTGAGGACTGCAGAGGACAGAGTGTTCAGGGTCTCATGATCTTTGAGGCTTTTCATAGCCTGTCTGCAGTGAATCATAGTCCTTGTGTCCAATTATTTGAAACAGTTTGTTTTGTAACTGAGCCACACGGGATCCACCATGCTCTCATGCTAAACACCTTACTGCCCAGACACTATAAACCTCATTGTGAACAACACTATGGCAGTTGTTACAGGACTGTGTTGTCGTCTGCATCCACTGGAGTCATGGACCTTAATCGATCATGTCGTGAACAATGAAAGCTGATGTTTCTCCAAAAGTGTGAACCCCTCCCTTACACAGAGCTGCCACTCTGCTGTTCTCTGCCACATCAGAAATGAGCATGAAAACCTCTAAATTATGCATCTATTTTTAATGAGACTGGTGTGGAGCAGCTGTGCCACTAATTACCAATCCAACAACTAATGTTTTTTGTGAAAGGGCAATGTACCTTTGCCTTGTACAGCATCAAGCCAGAAAACAGAAATCTATGAAACAAGTCAGAATGTTCTGGGAAAGTAAGTGAAATCTCAATGTAATTATGACGAATCATTAACCCAGTTCATAGAGGCTGATGGACTGAAAACAACCCGACTTGACTCCAGTTGAGAAGCGAAGATCCACAGTGACCTCAAGTGGCCATTCATGCATATTACATCTTTCAGTCTATAATGGCAAACATATACTTGCAATGTACATTTAAAGTGAACTTGTAATTAGAATTTATTGAAAATGATTGTCTCTGTTTTAGATTATTTCTACGGATTTCATTCACAAATATTTCTCTCTGGCTGCCATCTAATACACTTTGTCCTTGGCTACATTTCAACATTGGGCCCTGTTTTGATTCCAAAAGTCATTGACATGGTTGAACGCAAACAAGAATGAGCAAACTTGGACTTCAAAACCAACTCTTTACCCATCTGCCACTTGTGCCTCTGCCAACATGGACAGACAAATACGAGCTTTGTTACTGCTTTTATCCCATATCCTACTTGCATATGGAAATGCATTGGATATGATGCCAATTGAACTTGCCCCTATTCCTTGTAATGACAAAGCAGTGGAGAAGCTCTCCCGACTGGCCGTCACTTACATCAATGAGGATAGATCCGAGGGTTACAAGTTTGCCCTAAATCGAATTGCCAATGTCCACCTTCATGCTCAGGTAAGACGAAAGCACTGAAAGGACTGTAGCAGCGGGAGATGTATTTGTGATTAAGTAGAGAAGTGGACTGGAAAGGTTATTTTCTCATTTTGTGTGGAAAAATCAAAACATTCCTGGTAGGAGAGGGGCGCATGGTGGGGTTGACCAGCTGTGACCAATCTTGCTGTCAGTGGGAACCTGATAAGATTTGGCCTGGGATATAGTACTCGTAATTGTCAAATCAAAAATCAATGTCACAATTTGGTCACTGTAGGAAAATGGTAATATATTATTGTCAAACACTACAAGAGATTATGTGTAAATGAAACATAAACGAGAGTTTCAGTATTTCAGATTATTACCACAATCTATAAAACTACTGTATCTATTTTTCTTTTACGGAAATTAGATTCTAACTGAAAATGTTCCCTCAAATAACCCGGAGCAGATCACATCCTTTTTGTGAAATATTGATTATTTCTGCTGTTACAATAACACATTTCACGATGTATCGTTATTTACAGAGTTACATCATTAACTTGAACTTATTTATTACCATGGACACATTTAAAAGTTAGCTGAGCCCATAAATGAGCTGATTTAAATATTCATCCATCCATGTTCTTCTGCTTTATCAGATGCCAGGTTGCAGGGGGAGCAGATAAAGCAGATAAGCTTAAATAAGGAAAATAGGGAAAATTGCATGTGTAAATCATATGTAAAGCATGTAAAAAATATATATACATCTATATTTAATAATAACAAAATATTCAAAGTGGGACTGTTCTGATCATTAGCTATGTGTATAATGAATGTTGACCCTTTTTTCAGACATATTTTATTGGGTTTTTCCACAACATTTCACAAGAGTTATGCACAAAGTACAGATTTTTATACTAATTATACTAGTGATATTATAAAAGTTGTAATAGCCCCACACACATCACAAGTCAGTGTCAGTATCAACAGGACAGACATACACGTATACACATGCCACTAAACAAAAATACACATCTAACCTATATACATTTATACACACATCTCCCAAATACCAGCCTACTTACTGTAAGTGGGTATTAAACAGGACTTTAATGTCTGAAAATAGCACAGAAGGGTACTAAAGAAGGGTTGTCAGATTTTTTTTTTATTATATGTGGAGCCATGGAGAGTAACCTTTATCTTCTCAAGTCTACTAAAGACATATTTTATCCAAATGTCAAATATCTGAGGGATACGGACTTCCAGCTCAATAATATCCTTTGTCCAGCCAACAATGTTATAAAAGCAATGAGGTCAGATTGTAGGCTTTGGAGGGCAACAGTTTCAGGTAAAACCCCAAAAAGAGCAGTTAAAGGCTCAGCTTGGACTGAACGACCTTCGATGGTGATGACCACGACCAAAACATAGATTTGCAGGTGTTTGGAGGCATCGGGCCCCAAACCGGAGTAACGTTTGAATCTGAGAGAGCCGAGCTTTTGACCCGAGAGTGCGATGTAGAACTTTACACTGATTTAAGTTACATTTAATGTTGAAGTTCTGATCTTTTTACCATAGTGTACAATATCAATAGGCTCTTATTTGCACCTCAAAAGCTCAGACTCATTATTTTTTCCTCCTGAGTCATCAAGGCTTCTATATGAACCCGAGACACAAATACAATGAATAAAGCAGAGGTTATTTGAGTGCAGCTCTGCAGGGACCGGACTTACACAACACACATTATGAACTCTGGCTTTGGGAAATGAAGGCCATCACAGCACGAATCTACATTTAACAACGGCCTGAGAGTTGAGGAATGCGGCACTTGCTCAAAGTGCAATAGCAGCTAAATCGATAAGCAACATACTGTACCTGCCGACTGCTCCTAAAGGTGAATAAGAGGAACTACATAGAGGAAACACACTGACAGCTTTATATTTATCCCTCAGATTCAGATTCATTTTATTTGCCATTTGCAGTAAAACCACAATGAAATATATTTGCAAAAGTCCCCAGTGTACATCAGACAAGTTCAGAAATTATAAAAACGACTGGAACAGTTTCAACAAGTGTGAGATCATTAAAGTGCTTTGTTTAAACTTATAACAGTGTGTGGCGACGATCCGGGCCACTTTGCCCAGTTCATTTGTAAAAACCTATGTGACTGTGCCCTAAGAGCTCAGTTTAAGAAGATTTATAAAGAACCTCCAGAAGGCAGATCATAGTCTTCTTTCAGAGCGGAGCACCTCTCTCTCTAGTCTCTCTCTCTGGTTTCTCGTGTCTCTCTGGTCTCTCTCTGGTCTCTATCTTTATGGTCTCTCTCTCTAGTCTCTCTCTCTGGTTTCTCGTGTCTCTCTGGTCTCTCTCTGGTCTCTATCTTTATGGTCTCTCTCTCTGGTCTCTCTCTCTGGCCTCTCTCTGGTCTATCTTTGGTCTATCTATGGTCTCTCTCTGGTCTCTCTCTGGTCTCTCTCTTTGATCTCTCTCCGGCCTCTCCCTGGCCTCTCTCTCTGGTCTCCCTCTGGTCTCTTTCTGGTATGTATGCGGTCTCCCTCTGATCTTTCTCTGGTCTCACTCTGGTCTCTCTCTCTCTCTCTCTGGCCTCTCTCTCTGGTCTCTCAATTTTCTCTCTCTGGTCTCACAGCTCACAGTCCTTTTTCAGAGCGAAGCACCTTGTTTTTACACTCTCATTTCCTCAGCTGTGATGTCACTAAACCACAGTCACAACCACAGAATCCTTGTTCTGATGCAAGTAGTGAACTAATATTGTCATTCCTTCTACATCCTTGTTTTGTTCCAGGGGCCAGCAGGTAATGTCTATTATCTAGATTTGGACGTCCTGGAGACAAAGTGCCACATAGGAAGTCCAAAACCATGGAAACGATGTGATGTTAGGCCGTTCATGGAAACAGTAGGTCTCCCTGCTTCTTGGTTATACTGCATACAACTTTACAACAAACAACCAATAGTTTTGCCTTTTTTAGCAAATATCTGGGAATTGCAACACCACCATCCTTCACACACAGGAAGGATACTCTTACTTGTACAGCTACGACTGCACTCTTGTTCCAGGTAATACTTAACCATTACTTTTGTTATCACTCTTACTGCCCATATAATCTAAAAATACAGTATGTCCTTTCTCTCATTCTCAGTTAGTGCACTATGTTGTAAAATATAAAAATATATCTGTCCATTCGCTATAAAAGACCAACTGTGATAAAAATTAAAATTACAGCAACAATATACTTTTAACTGTCTTATATAACTGTCTCATTTGTCTATTTCAATGTTGTGCTTTAAATGCAATAATAAATCTGCATGAGGTTTGGTGCCGTAATGGATATAATGGTACTATAATGAATACAGCTGTTTCTCTTAATATAAAGGCCTTTACACTTGTTATGCAAAAAAAAGAACCACAAATATGAATAAATGCAAGTCCTTTGCATTTGCAAACACACATATATATATATATATATATATATATATATATATATATATATATATGTCCCCACCTAGTCCCAGACTTGACAATTGCATGTAATGTTTGGTATATTTCCCCATGGCCCAGAGTATATGGCCATCTAAAAGATTCAGACTTGAAAATGAATTTGAAAAGCCCCATTCTATATGATTCATAGTTAGTTTAGTGTCAAGCCAACTCATCTGTGACTAAGTAAAGGATTTGTTTTCTATGTATTTCTAAATAATACATAAAAAAATGTACATTCTTTATTTCCTGTATAGATCCACCAGAGAAGCTGCAGCAGACCTGTCCCGCTTGTCCCCTCCTGCTTCCCGTAGACAGCCCTCAGGCCATCACTGCAGCTCAAGTCACACTAGAGTCCTATAAGAGGAAGTCCCTGCTCGGGTCTGGGCTGGGGGTGAAAAAGATTTTGAGGGCAGCCCAACAGGTAAAAGATTGTATGTAATGCAAAGGTATTTTTTTGTTTACATTTGTCAATATTTTAGGCTTTTAATAAAGATTTTTTAAATGTAGATGTAGTATTTATTGGGCCTCTATGTATCTTATATTTGGCTGACTCATTCTTGGAATTTTTTGTTCTTCCTTCTAATGAAGACTCAGTAAAAACAGTTGAGAAATGCTTTGGACAAACATTAGACAACAACAATATTCCAGTGAGAATAACATTTGTGTCTCCTGAGTTATAAAAGAGAACAAATTAAGCAGCATCTGTTTTCCCCCTGGGTTGGCTTTTTAATATAATCCAATCTGCAACACTCTTAGGGATACTGTATGTAATATTTATAAAATGCATTCATTTTAGTACCTTAGCTCAAGATTAGACCAATATATATACGCATCAGTAATCATTTGCATTTTTTCCTGTAATGTTCTGAGTTTAGATCTAAATCCATAAAATTAACCGCTATTGGTTTCATAAATTGAGCTTATTCTATTGTCAAGCAATTTTGAAGCGACATTGTCATTTCAGTTCAATCTGACATGACATGAAAATGCTATTTTCCATCAGCCGGGCAATTACTTGCACTTGTTACATAATTGAGAAATGATAATGGCTGATGGCATTGTTGTTGCTGTCTGACAAGTATTTTGCCTCAAGTCTCCTGGCATGCATGTATTTGTTTTACCCCCATTTTAATCCATTTTGTCCCAGGAGTATATTGTTGTGATGCTATTGTTTTGTTTAAGACAAGACCCGTGAAAACAAGCCTTGTGGAGTACACCGTCCAGCAGTGTCCGGAGGGAAACACTGAAACAGGCAGCTGCCAAAGACTGACCGCAGCCTCAGACACAGAGGTAAACAGCCCATAGCACACTGGTGAATAAAGATTATAATTTTTTTTATCTCTTTTATTTCATTTTTGTTTGATACAGCAAAACAATAACTTTTCATTGTTAAGAGTAAGAATATATATATTGTAAATAGGACACATGAGATACCATAATGCCCAATAGCATTTAATAAATTAATGTTTTGTAAGACGTTTTACCGACCCAGCAACTTCTTCCCCATTACATTTATAAATGTGCAGCCACAGAGCTTTTGCAGGTGTTGAGTTTCCATTAACAGACTGAAAGTAATAAATAAACAATGTGTTTTTCAGACGACAGGTTTCTGTTCCGGATCCGTGCATGGTGATGTCAGTCTCCATCCGGAAGTCCACGTGTCCTGTGAGATGTTCAAAGTACAGGTATGAGACACTCTCACCATTTCACATACTGATAATAAAAATAATAATGCATCGGTTTTATATAGTGTTATTCAGGACGCATCATATGTCATAATTCTTTCACTCCAAACACTGTGCTGATGCACTACTACTGTAGCCACAGCTGCCCTGTGTGGCACACTGACAGAAGCGAGGCAACCATTATATGCCATCAGCCCTTCTGACCACCACCATTCACACACACACCAGACTCAATCTAATGTGGGTGAAGTGTCTTGCCTAAGGACACTATGACAGTTTGGCACTTTACAGCTGCAGCCGCCCCACTGTGGCACCTGTTCCCAGAGGTCTCCCATCCCAGCACTAACCAGGCCCTGCCCTGCACAGTTTCAGAGGTCTGACAGGATCTGGCTTTCAATGTTTTGTCCATAAATTAATAAATTAATTATTAATTTATTGTTTATTTGGTTGGGACAGTACATGTTAATGAACACATCACTCCGGATTGTAGCCATGGTCTAATTTGCATCCGTTGTCCCACATTCGCACTCACAACCACACACTCATTCATTCACCCTGAACTATTGCACATGTTTTGAGAGGAAACCTAAGCAAACACGGGGAGAACATGCAAACTCCACTCAGAAAGGCCCTGTTCCGACCGAGATTCGAACCCAGAACCTTCTTGAGTGTCTTTCCCAATGTTAATTAAAGCTATACCCTTTTGAGCCTCTATTTAAATACGATATTCAACAATTCGGTTTTGTTTTCTCTCTTTCAGTAAGTGATGACCTTTAAGATGATATTTTCACTTTGTATAAATGTCACCGGCCATTTCATTATTCCTCCACTTTTATGTGTCATGCCAGCATTTTCATCTTCTTATGTATTGCCTGTTTGTGTCACATTCTAAATTACATGCTTATGTTTTTGGATCACCCATGTCTATAATTATACTGTCTCCTGTCTTCTTGCAGAGCTCCGTAATGTCACATGATGGAAAATAACTTAGCCCAAAGCTGATTGGATTTGTGAGCATAGACCATGGAAAATGATTGTCCCAATAAAGATGGTGTTGCTTGGATGGAAGTGTAAATTAGGAAAACTAGAACATGCACTTATAGAGTACATACCAAGGATCATCACAAAATGTTAATGAGTTCTTCTTTCCATCACATCTTCACACCAAATTTCAGCTCAATCCTTCCAGTGTTATCCAGACACACACACACACTCACACACACACACACACATCGAAATGAAAACAATAAAAAGATTCAGGGGCTGTATATCCAATTTTGAGATTCAAATATCCCTGAACTATACTGTTGTCAGGTAAAGAAGTGGGGCCACTGAGGAGATTGGCAGCACCTCAGTGGCTCCAGCCAGGGGGATGCAAGTATCTTATATCACATTTGGGTTATTAATGCTGAGATACATTTATTTTCAGACTGTGGACGTCCTCACACCTCTGCAGCCGCAGGGTCACGACTTGGCCCCAGAGTTCCCTGTGATCCACTCAGATGTCCCCTTCATCAGTGACCCAGACCCAGCTGTACCTGAGCCTTTTGCCTCAATCGATCCAGTACCGGTTGATCCTGGAACACCTCCCCCCCCAGCTGCTCCTGCTCCTCCTGCTCCTCCAGCCCCCCCAGCTCCTCCAGCTGCTCCTGCTCCTCCAGCTCCACCCCCACCTCCTGTAATCCTACCCTCAGACCCCCTTACTTCATCATCCAGTGAGTCGTATGAAGGCTTCTTGCAGCGGCCCCCTCCTCCCGCTCATCCCGCTTCTCCTGCTCTGGGGACGGTGTACATGGGCTCCTCCTCTGAGGAGGTAGGTGGTCCCCTGGCTCTCCGCCCGCCCCATAACTTCCGTTACCAGAAAAGGGGTGATCGGCGGAGGAGACGTCAGGCCTTACCCCTCCGCCCGACCACACACAGTCCAGTCTTCCTCACGGACTTTCCAAATGGTGCTTCTCCATTCCGCTCTTGTCCAGGTCCTTCAAGATTCACCACAGTTTAAACAATATAAAGTAAAACCAATGAGATTATTTTTTTTTTCCCTAAACAATGTAAATCAGACTTGCTACAATAATATGTGCAATTTGAACACTATCAACACTGTGTCCTACACTTTAATAATCATACAATTTAAATGCATCTCATCGCTGGTTAAGACGCACTTCAACACGTCCGTTTATAGACTACTTAGTAACCAGTTCATGTATGGATTTCCCATGACTCCCACAAGACTGATCAAATAAGACATAATTTATAGTTATTACAAATCCTTCATTTTCCTTTAGAGTTTCTCCTCGTTGTGACTGATTGTAATAAAATACTTTCGAAGATATCTTATCCATGAGTTTATTGTTCTTTTAGTAGAGGAGAGTTGTTTTTACCCTTTACTTGTCTTCTTTACTTTTCAACACAAATGTCTATTTTCTTCTTCTTACATTTTAACAGGACAATGTCACATTGACTGTGAAAGCAGAAGGTTTACTGAGGTGATAACATGCTTCAATAAGGAACACTGCTTTTCTGACTTATTGTTGTAACGTCTTTGCTTGAGTGTATCTCGGCAGAATATCATGTCTCGTAATGAATTACAGGATTTTCTGATTTTTATTCCATTACAGGAAACAAACAACAGTATAAACATTAGGTTTTACATGATTGATAGGTAAAGTTTACATGAATGTTGGATATCAACCATAGAATGTAAATATTAAGGACGTAGTCACGCCTATCTCCTCTTTTGAAACTAATGTGCCACCACTGTTGCCTTCTGTGGGCTTATTCAAAATGGCTGCGAGGCAGGAAATTGTGAAAAAACGCATTTGCCCATGTGTTAGCCGACACCAGCCCCATTCATTGATGAGTGGATTCAAAAGTCCACAGCAATTAAACTAGACTGGTCCAAAAAGAAATACACCACATAGCATTGACAGCATCTGGAACCAAGGGCCGACTTTTTGACCATCCTGTAAAGCCGTTTTGGAGAGGAAAGAAGACGCCATACAAAAGCATCGGGTAATTCTCTTTCTGGGTACACCCCCACTGGCAAGAGTGAGATAGCAGGCGTGAGTCAGCCAGTAGCGGCGCCAGGTTTGCAGTTATGGGTAGGCCTGCAGATTAGTAAGTAGGCCTAATTCGCTCGCAAACTACAAGGGGTGTTTGTAGTGGGGATACAAAGAATATGGTGCAAACGCGGCGCCACAGATTTAGCGTCACTGGCCCTGGTCCTGAAGGAGAATTAAATAGACTAAATAATACACATAGCGTAGTTTATTTGAAAATTACAAAATCAAATGCATGTACAAGGAACAGTACATAATCTTAAATCTAATTTACAAGAGCAGGCGGCGTGACTTTTGATTGAAGACAGCGAGTATGTCCTTGTAATCTATGTTCTCCGTTAATTCTCTTTCAAAAGACAATAGGGACAGAGAGTTAAGTCTTTCTGTCAGCATCGTCGCCCTGGTGCTTGTCTTTATTCGGTTGACGGTGGAAAAGAGTCTCTCCACCGTACATGTGGTCATCGGCAGAGTGAGCAGCGCTCGCAGGAGACTATTCATGACAGGGAATATGTCACGTGGACACAAATCAAGAACTTCAATGAGTGTGGGAAACTTATCTCCAGTTTCATTCATTTTTCTTTGAATGTGCTGCACAAAGACAGTGTGCTCTGCTCCGTTCAAGTGGATGGAGAAATGCGTGCACACGGGATGGATCGTCTCTATGTCTCCAAATGTGTCCCTGCGTGGCAAGCAGGCAGCGGTGGCCTTCATGAAGCCGTATGTGTCAGGCTTGAAGCGGATATTCAACTCCGTTATTTGTCTATCCAATGTGTCGTTCCAAAGTCTTCGAAGATCTGAATTTGTCTGCACAGTGAAGGACTTTCCCAAAGTAGATCCAACCAGAGAATCCTCTAACCTGGCAGGTAACTTTCTTTTGTGTGACGCGCCAATGTCCCAATTGATGATGTCGTGTTTAATCATCAGGTCATCTGCCAGAGCCAGTGTTTTATTGTATGTCGCATTTTCGTGTCTGAACTTCGTGTAATTGTCTTTGAGTCCTTCGATTAAATCAGTGCAATCTGTGACTGACAGTGTAGGGGACTGCAAGCCTTTTGTGGCGTAGTCACTGACTTCAAACAGCAGATTAAACGTAACAAGGAGGAACAGGAATTTTTTATTCTGTATCTGGTTCAATAAGGCGTCCGCATCCATTTTTGTTTGGCCCCTTGCACTTTCAGAAAAAGAGGCGAGGGTCTCCAAAATCGGTCCCAACAGTGTCAGCACTTTACTCACAGTATTTGACCAGGAGGTCCAGCGAGTTCGGTAAAGTTAGCTTGATATTCACAGATTCGGACTTCCGCGGTGAATATCTTACGAAAGCTACGTTGTTAAACGAAAGTAATTGTGCCAAAATGATCACCTCTACATGGGCTAACTACTACAACTTCGATTTTTCTAATCCAATGCGCTGTTTTAATGCAGAGAAATCCATTGAATCCAATGCGCCGCAAGTGCAGAGAAAAGCACTTAGGGAGCGTCAACAAATGCCAATACCAGCTGTGTAAACGAACAATAGTTTTTATTTTAAGCCAAGTACGCGCACTAAACTCTCAAATAATATAAATAGCTACCATATCTAACTACTACAACCTTTGTTTTCAGCATTTGTTTCTTTTTTGTATTTTTTATGAATAAATAGGATTTAATATGAATATGAATTTTGAATAACTTTTTTTCAAAGAGGGGCGTGGTCACCAAATTCTTAGGTATGATCAATAACTGCCATATCTAACTACTACAACTTTTGTTTTCAGCAGAAATATCTTTTTTATATTTTTTATGATTAAATATGACTAAAAATCTTGAATAACTTTTTTTCTAAAAGGGGCGTGGTCACCAAATTCTTTAGGTATGATCAATAACTGCCATATCTAACTACTACAACTTTTGTTTTCAGCAGAAATATCTTTTTTATATTTTTTATGATTAAATATGAATATGAATTTTGAATAACTTTTTTTCAAAGAGGGGCGTGGTCACCAGATTCTCAGGTATCATCAATAACTACCATATCTAACTACTACAACCTTTGTTTTCAGCATTTGTTTCTTTTTTGTATTTTTTATGAATAAATAGGATTTAATATGAATATGAATTTTGAATAACTTTTTTTCACAGAGGGGCGTGGTCACCAAATTCTCAGGTATGATCAATAACTGCCATATCTAACTACTACAACTTTTGTTTTCAGCAGAAATATCTTTTTTATATTTTTTATGATTAAATATGAATATGAATCTTGAATAACTTTTTTTCTAAAAGGGGCGTGGTCACCAAATTCTCAGGTATGATCAATAACTGCCATATCTAACTACTACAACCTTTGTTTTCAGAAGAAATATCTTTTTTATATTTTTTTATGATATAAAAATGATTGAAAAAAAGTTATTCAAAATTCATATTCATATTTAATCATAAAAAATATAAAAAAGATATTTCTGCTGAAAACAAAAGTTGTAGTAGTTAGATATGGCAGTTATTGATCATACCTGAGAATTTGGTGACCACGCCCCTTTTAGAAAAAACGTTATTCAAGATTTGTAGTCATATTTCATCACAAAAAATATAAAAAAGAGAAAAATACAAAAAACAAAGGTTGTAGTAGTTAGATATGGTAGTTATTGATTATATTTGAGAATTTGGTGACCACGCCCCTTTTTGAAAAAAGGTTATTCAAAATTCATATTCATATTTTATCATAAAAAATATAAAAAAGATATTTCTGCTGAAAACAAAAGTTATAGTAGTTAGATATGGCAGTTATTGATGATACCTGAGAATTTGGTGACCACGCCCCTTTTTGAAAAAAAGTTATTCAAAATTCATATTCATATTTAATCATAAAAAATATAAAAAAGATATTTCTGCTGAAAACAAAAGTTGTAGTAGTTAGATATGGCAGTTATTGATGATACCTGAGAATTTGGTGACCACGCCCCTTTTAGAAAAAAAGTTATTCAAGATTTTTAGTCATATTTAATCATAAAAAATATAAAAAAAAGAGAAATGCTAAAAACAAAGGTTGTAGTAGTTAGATATTGTAGTTATTGATCATACCTGAGAATTTGGTGACCACGCCCCTTGTAGAAAAAAAGTTATTCAAGATTTGTAGTCATATTTCATCACAAAAAATATAAAAAAGAGAAAAATACAAAAAACAAAGGTTGTAGTAGGCAGATATGGTAGTTATTGATTATATTTTAGAATTTGGTGACCACGCCCCTTTTAGAAAAAAATAATTCAAGATTTATATTCATATTTCATCATATTTAATCATAAAAAGTATTTAAAAAGAGACAAATGCTGAAAACAAAGGTTGTACAAGTTAGAAGTGTTAGTTATTTATTGTGTCCTAGAGTTCTGTGCGTGTACATGGCTTCAAGTAACAGCTATTGTTCGTTTACAAAGCTGGTATTGATACTTGTTGACGCTCCCTATGCGCTTTTCTCGGCACTTGGATTGAATGGATTTCTCCGCATTAAAACAGCGCATTGGATTTGAAAAATCGATGTTGTAGTAGTTAGCCTAAGTAGAGGTGATCATTTTGGCACCATTACTTTCGTTTAACAACGTTGCTTTCGTGAGATATTCATGGCGGAAGTCCGAATCTGTGAATATCAAGCTGACTTTACCGAACTGGTCCAGCGAACATCACAGGCTCTCTCCAGCTCCAAAGGTTTTTGCCCTGGCCGCATTTGATCTTGTATTTCCATAAATTTTGCGTGTCTGTGTGCTCCAGTCATAAAGTGATGCAGGTCATTTAAAACAACAAAAAAGGTTTCAATTGTTGTAGAATTAAAATGTTGTATACTAATGATTTTCAGTAGGTGTTTGCATACCATGTCTTTGTGCAATATTAAGCCTGGATCTCGTGGAATTCAGAGAAGGACCAGACCTCCCCCAGCCAGATAAGAGTTGTTTGGAGAAGGGCTTCTTCCTTATA